TTGTGGGATAAGGAAGAGGTGGCACATATCCATCCTCCGGCAATGCCTTGCTTGCCTCCTTCCTCTCATTCCTCGAGGGCTTCTTCTCTCTCCTTTTCCGGGTGGTCTCTTCCTTGCTGGACTCCTCCTTCTCTATTTCTTCTCCCGTGGCGACCTCCGGAACCACCTTCACACTCCTCACTTGAAGTGCATTCACCCCGGCTTGATCCTTGGGGTTCACCACGGTTTGGGAAGGTAAAGCTCCCTTGGGTCTCTCGATGAGGATACCGGCAAGGTTGCCGATTTGCACCTGCAAACTTTGAAGGCTCGTGTGATGGCTTCGGAGACCCGCCTCAACCGAGGTAAACTTGGTAGTCGCCACATCCATAAATTGCTCAATCTTCTCCACTTTTGGCTACTCGTACTCACAAAGGTGTTCACTAGGTCCTCAAGCTTGGATAACTTGTCGGGTTGATGTTGTTGTTGAAAACCTAGGGCATCTTGTAGTTGGTACAGTTGTTGAAAGTTTGATCCTTGGAGTTGGGGCCTTTGTTGGATGAAGGTTGGCCGAGGTTGGAAGTTTCCCGTGGGGCCTTGGAAACCCGGGCGCCTTGGATTAGCCAGTGGTGCCCAAGCGAAGTTGGGGTGGTTCCTCCATCCGGGGTTATAAGTATTGTTATAGGGTTGTTGACCCTAGCTTTTCCCACAAAGTTGACTTGCTCCTTCGGAGTGGTTGCCTTCGTCATTGCTTGGCACTCCGCTAACTCGTGGCTAGTACTCGAGCACCAGTCGCACGACATTACCGCCTGTTTTCCTTGCCTTTTATCTTCAAGCATAACCTCAAGCAACTTATCCAACTTTGCCTCAAGCGGAGCACCCGCTCCCACGCTTCTCACTCCCCTTTCATTACTTCTTCTTCCACTTCTAGTCAACCCCCAATCATACCCCCTAAGGACAATGTCTTCTAAGATCTCGGTAATTTGGGGCGGAGCCATATTCATCAACTTCCCCTGACATAAGGAGTCGATGAGGATCTTATCTTCTTGCATTAGGCCTCCGTAGAAGGTTTCAATCCGAAACAGTTCCTCAAACCCGTAGTGGGGGCACTGAAGAAAGTAATCGGAGTACCTCTCCCAAGCATCCCTCAAGGTTTCGTCCTCTTCTTGCTCGAAATGTGTAATCTTCTTTCTCCACTCCGCCATCTTCGAAGGCGGGCAATAACGAGCCATAAAATTGTTGAGGAGGTCGTCCCATGAGGTGACGGACCAAGGTGGGAGGTTGTTTAGCCACCTAAGTGCCTTCCCCAAGAGTGAGTACGGGAAAAGCCTTAGTTTCAAAGCCTCGCCCAACACACCATTAATCTTCAAGCTCCCCGCGAGCTCCAAGAATCTCTGCACGTGCTCTCTTGGTGACTCGCTCTCATGGTCGTGGAAGAGAGCATTGCTTTGTATCATAGTCACTAGAGCCGGCTTGATCTCGAAATTGTTTGCCGCCACCGGGGGATGTAGGATCGGTGATTGTACGTCCGCCGTCCTTGGGGCCATGTAGTACCCCATTCATATGGCGGGCTTGAGCGCCTCCATCTTGCCTTTGGTTCCCCGCCATTTCCTCTTCAACGACGGGCCCAAATTCCACTTCTTCAACTACTTCTCCACTAACATCGGCATCCGATTGTTGTCCCCCTCTTTCACTCCTCCTTGCCTCGGCTAGCTCTATCTCCCTTGCTAGGAGTCGGAGAGCTCGGTTTATGTCCTCGTCAAGTGGTAGTAAGGGCGCCGGGTTGCTCCGGGTCATACACCTCCTACACACAATCGGAAAACACCAAGTCTAGCACAAGCAAAGAACACACACACTTGCAAAACATGAAATTAAAAGGTAGATTAACAATCAACAACTTTTTCAGAATAACAGATCGCTGTTCCCCGGGAACGGCGCCAAAAACTTGACTCGCACGAAACTACACCACAACTAAACCCCAATTAGAGCCCAAGTTTTTAAACTCTAATCGAGCGTAGTATAGGGCAAGTACCTATATATCAACCCGGGTCGGTCCGTCTACACCTACTTCGGTTGTTGAAATCATTATCTAGAGATAAAACTTTGGTTTAAAGGTTTTCCAATTGAAATGAAAGAAAACAAAGGTGCTTTGGTTTAAAAACTCTTTTGTGGGAAAGTCACTTGGGATTTGCTTCCTCCTTAACCGCTACTATGCTACATAGGTTGGAATGATTGCCTTGGGCACATTAATCGTGAACCGCAGAGGAAAGCGTATGTGGTCGGAGACCACAGTCTCGATTGCTAAACCGAGGTAAGGATGAAAGGTCGTGTCACACGACCCTCTCGATTTAGACAATCGGTAATCGGCTTACTTCCTCACTCAACCCTAGGTCGGATGATTTAACCATGATTAATCGACTTGTTCAATTCAATATTGAGGATTTCCCTAACTCAACCTAGTTTAGGTCGCTTGGAAAGCGGAAGTAAAACCAACTCAATTGAGTCTCCCTTAAAAAGGGGGATTTCCCTCTCTAAACCTGGCTAAGTTGCCAAATTAGATTACTAGCACCTAAATGCACAAACTTAGGGATGCTAAGCACAATTATGCACAATCCCTAGGATGCTAAGCAAAAAATATGCACAACCCCTAAGTTGCTAAGCACAAGCATGCAAAATCATGGTGAAAAATACCTCAAACATTAAATTGAACAATACCCAATATCAATCATCCAAACTACATACAAAAAAACTACATAGTAGGGTTTAGGGTTTCACTACACCCAAGTGGGAGGAGGACTACTCCATGGAAGAAGTGGGAAGAACAAAGGAGAAAAGGTGGGAACCATCTTTTGGGGATGCCTCCTCTCTTCTTCAACCTTGAGCTGGGATTTCCTTGGGGAAATCTTCTCAAAACCTCCTTTGAAGACAAGCCCTGCATCGATCACGGCAGTTCACGGTCAACTGCTTGTGTTCACGGTCTTAGTGACCGTGAACTCGCCTTGCGTCAGTAACCTTCGACTTGGCTCTGGACACCTTGCGCTTCATGGTCAACTCCGCTTCTTCACGGTCTTGTCCGACCGTGAACTCTTGCCTTTAGCCGTGAACTTGTATTTTTTTTCACCTCTTCTCCCGGTTTTCGATCCTTTTCGCCAATCCTCGACTCCGAGGCTGGTTCCACCTGTTAAATCCTGAAAAGCACTCAAACACGAAGAACCTCCCGTAAAACCAACCTCTAATGAGCGAAGTTGGCCTAAACATCTAACTAACTAAGGGCAAAATATGTGCAATTAGGCCCGAATCATCTGGATATCAGAAGATGGCCAGATGATGAGAAATGAAGGTTGAACACTTGCTAGGAAATTCCCCCTATATATAGCAGTAGAAGAGTTAGTTCATATTTTAGGTCTAATTTCAAAAATCGAATGAAAAGAAAAGAAAGAGAATCTGTATCTATTAATGAAGAATCTGCGATTTGGGAGCATGATTCAACTCCTAATGAATCTTTTATGGGCTTTGGTCGACGAAATCGTCGTCGAATGGTTGCTCCTCTTGCCATTTGATTGCAGGAATTGAAGACAAATGACGAGGGGACTAGGAGAAAGTCTTTAGAATTGGTGATTTGGAAAGGGGAAAGGACAAAAAATATGTTGAATCGCGATCTTTTGGCGATCTGATCGCCAGAGAGGCAGAGAAAAAGAAGGAATTAGGGTTTCTTTCGTTTTTGGGGGAATAGATATGAAGGAGGCGACTAGATGAACTAGGTTTAACTCAGTCGTTAGGAGCGAATATATACCTCGACCAAAACTGCAACGTTTTCCGGGATGGGTATTCTACCGGGCGGGTTATGGGGCGGATAGTCGCTGATCCGTCGCCACACGAGACACATCGTTGACGGATATCGGGGTCACTGCCTCCCGTTTTGACGGGCCTCCAATCAGAATCCACCAGGCCCAATTTTGGCCGGGCTTCATGCGGGTATCCGCTTATGGACCCGGGCCTGCCATCCCTAACAGCCTCTTTGGAAGGGGGTAACACTTGCACATATATGATTGGTTCAGCCCAACGTGTGGAGCACATCTCTCTCTTCAGGCGCGTTCCACGTCAAATAAAATGACGGTCCTTGATTTTTGGATCAATTTGCCTCCTTGTAAGTTGTAATACAAATTTTGACCAAAAAAAGAATTTTTAGGATCTTTGGAATTTCTCTTTGAAGATTCCAAATTTCCCCTATGTTTGGCTGGGCTTTTGAAGTGCTTTTCGGCTTCAGAAACTGAAGCAGGGTCAAATACCTCTAAAAGCTCGGCTTTTGAAAACCAAATAGCACTTTTGTATAACATAAAAGCATAAGCTCCGATTTGGAGCTTCTGAAAAAACTGTTTTGAAAATACAAGATTATCCTTAACATATTTTAATTTTATTTCAGTAAATATAATTTTTTTCATTTGTATCATTTTAAAACAAAATAATTATAAAATCATATTATTTAATATAAAAGAAATATAACAAGATTCATTTTGACTACTTTTATTGTTTAGAATTTTTATTCATAGTTTATATTATAAGTCATTTATAGTCATTTTACACAACCTCTCATATTAAAAAGCACTTCTAATATTTTTTCAACCAAACACTCAAATGACTTTTTTTAAAAGTATTTCTCTAAAAGCTCCAGCTAGAAGCGGCTTTTGGAAAAACTATCGTAGGGCCAAACTAGCCTTTTATGATTTTACTAGCATATGCCCGGCCCGTTGGTCGGTTTGTTTCGATTCACTTTCGAACACTAATCTAATGAATTTTTTTTTTGTTTAGAAACAATTGAATGTTTTTCTTGGTCTATGTTGAACATCGAGGTTGAGTCAGTAAACCTTATATACTTAGTCAGTTTATTTCTAAAACTATGATCCATTATTAAACTACTTGAAAGTGAGATCAAGTAATCATTGCACTTGACAACAACTTTGTACGTAAAGCAAATAATGGGTTTTGTAGTTTCTCCTCAAATAAGGAATTCTTATGCAAAATTATACAGATACCTCAATTTCTTATTTTTCGAAAACCACTTTTCAGCAAATAATATTTAGTTCTTACAATTTTTCTGGTGATTTAAGTTAAACATACAAAAAAATTATGGAAAATTCACCTATATAAACATAAGTTAACAATATTGTAATGTTACTACTTACCTCAACTACAATCGAAGCTGTAATCTTGTCAAATTTAACAACATCGGGATTTAGTAAAAAAACAATTATCATGCCAACCCACAACAATCATTGAAATAGAGAAAACCCAAAGCAACAATGTCTATAAGTGGATTCAAAGCAAACACCAAACATAATTTCACCTAATTCTGCGGCAAACAAAAGCACACAATGGTTCCCAGCTTGAAAGTAACAACCTAAAAATGCAACAATGGTGGTGGTGGCATGGTGTGAGGCAGCCTAAACCTTAAACAACTTCACCACAACCAAATCACAACGATTGGCCACATAACTCCGATCTCCAACTTCAAGAAGAATCTCATAATCATTTCCAGGAATAGAGGTCAGCAAGTCGACATAGTTGTCCGTCGCAGCAAATTCCTCATGACTTACTACCTCTGAAACGATTCTTCTAAGGTCAGAAGAAGTGAAAATGGCTTCCACCATCATCGATGGATCTTGTAGAACAAAATGATCAACATAGCATCTTGTCTCACTTTCCCATGAACAACTTACATCCTTCATCGCTCCTACAATCATATAGTGATTTCCTGATAGCAAAAGCATAAATAATTACTATAAGTCAATGACAAAGTAGAGGTTCATCATGAGATAGACATAGCCGAGAAACTACATCTAAGAGATAGAATAAAAATACCATATTCATCAGGTTCCGTTTGAACCTCTGCCACTTCCATCAGCGTTGCTAGCTCAGATCTAGCCAGTGCTTCCTCGTACGTGATATCACGAATTTCATGCTCAATTTGAAGAGGCTCGGGTGGTTCCCTTTGTGTAAAAAATGAGCGTTCAGAATTACAACTTAATATCATGAAAGGATGAAGTACAGGTGCATGAAGATCCAGAAAAAATTTCGTAGCATGGGTTGTAGTAAATCCATATTCCCTTTGGCTCAACACATGCAAATGAGCCATGCAAATAAAGGATTAACACATGCAAATAACCCAGATTTAGACATTTCATAATGAGACACAACGAACAGAGAGTAGAGTGAGGAATACATTTGACACATGGCACTAACTCTGCTAAAGGAAAATTTTAACATATTTAGATATTAGAGAACTCATAGCAGAAGTAGACTTACATTTCGGTCAATGAAGGCATCTTAACATGTGTAATGGAATTGTCATATCCTCAGCATACGAACCTTAACATCCCAATTGCCATCATATGGCTGCAGGTCAGGAAGTGTGTGCAGAGTAAGGAAAAATAAAAACCAAAAAACGGGTACATACATATAGAGAGGTTTATATAAGTATGAATGCAAGGGGAGTTAAAACCAGATACACGGCAAGTAAATAAACTGTTGAGCGAATAGAGGGGTATGTCGGTTGTGGATTGTACACAGCGATGTTAGTTACAAATACTCCCTCCCCATCGGTCCATAGAACACGAAGTTGTGGTAACATACAACTCAACCAACGCATAAGACGGTGAATTCTTAAGACACATGGACTCTCCAATTTAAAACTCATTCAGTCCAGCCGTTACGGTAATACGTTGAGGGAAATTGGAATACCCTTCCACCGATTTAATCAATTACAATCTCACCAAACCACTCAACTACAAAATTTTACATTGTTTTGAAATATTAAAAATACAAATTCCAACAATATTGAATATCAAATTAATTAAGATTTTTTAGACCGTTATGTGAGCCTGTGTGATACTTGGTATGTTATAATTTTGAGGGCCTGATATGTATTCCTGTGCCGATCAGATTGGTGGATGACTAATTTCACGCATTCTTTTAAATTTCAATTTCTATTGCAATTCAATTTAGGTTGATTGACCATTTCTACTTCAACTCATCCAAATACCTAATTTTTCTTCTACTTACCAACACTTTCTTATCTCCCATTCTATCTTAATATCTCATTGTACTCCTCTTTACCTAGTTACTATCCACATTACGAAACAGTCTAAACAGAAGCACCAACCAAGTGCTTCTTAAGGCTGTGAGAAGAGGGGAGAGGGGTAGATCTCTGAATTAGGGGTTTTCCATGGGAAGCAACAAAGTGTGAATGCAGATTATAGTATTACATTTTCTTTGACTCATTTTCTTGATTCAAAGTTTGAAAATATAAAATGATGGTTCTTTACGTTTGACCTGGTGGGCTGATAATCTGAGGCTGTTTATAAGGTAGCAATTTGCAAATGCGGCAAAAGTTTCTCAAATAGAGCTTTTTAATAAGTGTTAATGAAGTAGCAATTTGGAAATTTGATTTGAATAAGCGCAGTTCCCCATTTTGTCCCACGGACTTTCCATAGATCCTTGATAATATCCAACGGGCCGACCTGCTAGCAATTTATCAACCTTGGTCTCACCTCTCAAATATTGAATTAGTGGGTAACTAAAAGGAAGAGATTCAATTATTCTATGATCGTTATTAATTATGTGTTGATTTGTTATTTCAAGATTCTTTAGTTTTATTCTAATAGATGTAAATTATGTTGAAATTTCAAATCCAAACAATTTGATCAAAACACAATTGGAGCAGTAGATTCATGGAGTATGTTAATAAAAGTTAGCAACACAAAATGGGTGCACATCAAAATTTATATTCCTTTCTTTTTCTTTTCTTCCGATCATTGCATGAAAGAGAATCCAGAGGTCGATCCGCATACTACTAAAAAACACCGGTGGTTAATAGCAGGACCTGGGTGGAAAAGATACACAAATCGTCGCATCAGAGAATAGGCTTGGTGGATGGGAGTCATGCGGTGAGAAAGACCGGGTTTGGGGCGAATTTCTCAACGCGCATATCACCTAATGTGAACAAAATGTTCATCTCTGTGAACTATTATGCTATAAGCGGTTTAACTCAACAACACATTTTGAAACAAATATCCAAGGTTGAAACGCGCATATTTTACATAATATAATATTGATATACACATATCATACAAAAACTGGCATAATGGAACTGTTGATAGCAGCCCAACTTTATAACGATTAGTCCATTGTGTTCATACATTTAGTAGCTACAATAACCTCAGCAAATGACACAAGAGTTGACACTATACAATGTGACTACATTATATTGACATTGATGAAAAGATATTCAGTTTCCCGAAGAAACGAATAATTTCACCAACAACAGCTCAAAATGGTTGAACGGATTGTTCCAAGGACCCATTGTAACCATAACCTCAAAGCATCTTCCAGGAAGCAAGTTTAAAATGCTAACGAAGTCAGCGTTGTCCATATCTTTTTCAATCACTAAACCTACAACAATTTTGCATAAGTAAGATGATGAAAATACAACCTCGACATCAGAAAGCTCATCCTCAATAGCTAGGTGGATGAAATAAACTTCAGATGCAGGACGCCAGGTTGCCCACATTTTAGTAACCCGCCCAGAGTAGATGTAAGAAGTACCATGACATTACAAAAAAAAATAACAGATTTGACCAAGAATCATTAACATTAACAAACTTATTACGAAGAGGAAAATATTACAAATGACGAATGAATTAAGAGCAAAAGTTAATAACCTTAGGGTCTGGATTCATCTGGAATAACGTAAGATCAACTGTATCAGTAAGCTCGGACATAACGACGGCATCCTGATAGTTCATAGATGCAACGAAAGCATTTACAATCATAAAATCCCTATTCAAAAAGGCGTTAGTTTTACAGTTAATTGGCAAAGGAAGCTAAGTGGACTTTGGTAAGAAATATTTGGCCACAGAATATTTATGTAACAATCGATGACAACGCAAAGAAACCAAGCACACAACACCAGGATTTACGTGGTATCCCCGTCCAACTGGAACGGGACTAATCCACGTAGAGCAAGCTCTCAAAGAAATCAAACTCGTATGTCTCTCTGTCTTAGGGTTTTCGGCTGCAGCCGTGTACAGCAAATATACTAGCTCCTATCATCAAGTTACGTGGTGCAACATGGTAAATAACATAATGGGACCCTAGGTAATAAACTATTACAAAAGGGTCCCCAACACTCCCCCTCAAGCGAAGGAGTGAATGTCGAGAAGTCCGAGCTTGACAAAGAGATGATGGAACTGATCAACACTCAAACCCTTCGTAAACAAATCAGTCGGCTGGTCTGCACTAGCAATCTTCGCGGGAGCAATGTCACCAGAATGCACATGCTCACGCACGAAATAACAGTCCATCTCCACATGAAGCACTGCTTGGTTATCACAATGCAGTGGAGTGGGAGAGGCAAGGACGTCGCCAAGGTCACGGAGAAGCCACCGTAGCTAGAGGACTTCACTAACCGTACTGGCCATAGAGCGATACTCAGCCTCAGCAGAAGATCGGGCCACAACTGTGTGCTTCTTCATGCGCCAAGAAACAGGATATCCAACAAGTGTAATAAAATAGCCAGTCGTGGAGCGCCGTGTCAAAGGACAACCACCCCAGTCCGCATCACAGAAAGCAGTCAAAGTAAGAGGAGCTGAGGCCGAAAGAAAAATACCACGACTAGGAGCAGACTTGAGGTACTGAAGAACACGAACGGCTGCATCCTCGTGTGCTTTGGTAGGAGCCTGCATGGCCTGACTGAGGATATTAACGGCATAGACAATGTTCGGCCGAGTGACTGTAAGATAGAGGAGCCGCCCAACCAGACGACGATAAGCACTAGGATCATAAGCCAGGGGAGAATCCGTGCGGCCGATGTGATGCTGCTGCTCGATGGGAGTGAGAACCGGTTTGGCACCCTCGAGTCCTGCATCTGCTAGGATATCTAAAACATACTTGCGCTGGTTAAGAACCATACCATGCGGAGAGCGAGCCACCTCAGTCCCGAGAAAATATTTGAGAGGGCCAAGATCTTTTATGGTAAAACGAGAATGAAGATACGTCTTGACATAACGAATGAAGTTCATATCATTGCCAGCCAGAATCACATCATCCACATATATGAGTGCAACAACAAAGTTGGGACCATGCTGGTAAGTAAACAATGCGTGATCTGCACGACTCTGAACAAAATCAAAAGCCAAAAGAGCTTGGGTGAAGTTTTGATACCAGCTGCGAGAAGCCTGACGCAGCCCGTAGATGGATTTGTGGAGCTTGCAAACCCGCGTATCACCGGGACTGCCATAGCCTTGCGGGGGAGCCATATAAATTTCCTTGTCTAGATCACCGTGGAGAAAAGCATTATTTACGTCAAGCTGGTGGACATGCCAACCACGAGCAACTGCAACCGCCAGTAAACAACGAACCGTGACTAGCTTTGCGACAGGAGCAAAAGTATCATGGTAGTCTATCCCTTCAACCTGTGTGAACCCCTTCGCAACAAGACGAGCCTTGTACCGTTCAACAGAGCCATCGGGATTGAAATTTATTTTGTAGACCCATTTGCACAAGATCTCCTTCTTACCAGGAGGTAAAGCAACTAGGGACCACGTACCATTAGCAATGAGGGCAGAAATTTCTCGCTGCATGGCGTCACGCCAATGCTTGTATCTAACAGCCTGATTAAAAAACAAGGGTTCATCCTTAGCACTCACAGCGGCGACAAAGGCATGATGTGCTTGTGAAAATCGATGATAGGTGACATAGTCATCCAAAGGGTAGAGAACTGTGGCTGAATGAGCAGCGCCTGGGAGATCCACCTCAAAACCGGCCAGACGTGTGGAAGGAAACGGAAGCCGGTCGCTGCGACGAGGAGGAGGAGGCTAGTAGGAGACAAAGCAAGTGGCAAGGATGAAGAAGGACTGCCCGAAGGAGATGGCTTTGTAGATGAGCTTGGGGAGCTGTCCCCAATTATCACTGGCGTGCAAGGAGAAGTAGGAATTTCTGTTTCGAGAGAGGCAGTAGGAGGATCAAAAATTTGTTGAGGAAGAGGAATGGGTTAAGAGTGCGACTCATCATCATCATCATCATTATCATCATAAAATGATGGCCTGTGATCCGCCGAGTCGAAAGGAGAACCACAAGTAGGAATCGACACAGATTCAGGCGTCGGAGTAGCATCCTTCAGAACATCCCGATATGGGTAGACATGTTCAAGAAATTGAACATCACGAGACGTGTAAATATGACGCGTCTCAAGTTCATACACACGATAGCCACGCTGAGTAGAAGGATAACCAATGAACACGCCATCCCTCCCTCGTGCTCCAAATTTGTGTAAGTGGTGATGATTGTCACGAGCATAAACCAGGAAGCCGAAGCTCCAAAGATGATCATACTTAGGTTCCTTCTCAAAGAGTACCTAGAAGGGCGACCGATGACCAATGGGAACCAAAGGCATGCGATTAATGAGATACGTAGCTGTCATAACGCACTCACCCCAAAATTTGATGGGCAAGTTTGCATGAAATCGAAGTGTGCGGGCAGTGTCGAGAAGGTGACGATGTTTTCGCTCCACTACACCATTCTGCTGTGGAGTATCTGTGCACGATGTCTGTAAAACGATCTCTTCCTACTCATAGTAAGCTGTAAGTTGAGTACTAGAGAACTCCGGACCATTGTCAGTTCGAATCCTTCGTACTTGCCGCCCAAACTGATTCCGCACCAAGTTACAAAAGTATAATTAATGTCGGCCCACATCACTCTTGTATCACATCAAAAATACCCAAACGGCACGACTAAAATCGTCCACTATTGTCAAAAAATAGTGTTCTGCAGAAGTAGAGGCAGTTTTGTAGCTACCCCAAATATCAACATGAATAAGTTCAAAACATGACGTTGTTTTTATGCTACTGAGCTCAAAAGTAGTACGAGTCTGCTTAGCACGTAAACAAGATCGACACGACTCTTTATTTTGAACAAAAGAGCAATCAAGAACCTTCTCCAGATGAGTGAGCTTTCCCATAGACGGATGCCCAAGCCGTGCGTGCCATAGATCCGTTCGATCTAAGGAACGACGTACAGAATGCGCCATAGCATGACCAGCTTCCATAATCCGTAGATAGTATAGCCCATCGACATGCTTACCCATACCAATCAGCCTCTTAGATGGTAAGTCCTGAATTAACACAGAAATCGCTCAAGAATATAAGTGCCACTGGAAGATCAGCTGTAAGTCTGCTGACAGAGAGCAGGTTGCACTGAAAATCTGGTACGTGAAGAACTCGACGTAATGACAAATCATTAGATAAATTTGACGTCCCAATACTATGGAATTCAACTCCTGTCCCATTGGGAATTTTAACCTGCAGAGCGGGAGAGGAATCCAGCCCGATATCCGACAATGAACTTTGATTAACAATATGTTCATTGCAAACGGAATCTACTACCCAACTTGACGAAGGGACTGAAAACGTACCTGCCATGTTTGAGGATGGCTCAATGGATCCCTGCTACTTGAGGTCCGCGCCAAGGAGTGCTTTGAGCTGTGCGAATTGATTCGCTATAAGGCTAGCCAGTGGACTCTCGGTAGCGTCTACCTGGGCTGCATGTGACGAAGAGTGCACACCACGTTCACCTCGGCGCTTAGGCTGCTCCTTCCCATCATTATTCTTGGACGGAAAACCATTGAGACGATAACACGTCTCTCGAACATGCCCAGTACGTTGACAGTACGTGCAGCGGGGCTTACCATCACCATCTCGTGTCCTCCCATCCACATCCCCTCGGTCTTTGTCTCTTTCACGATCATGGGGAGGGACCCAGAGATCCGCCTTCATCTCCCCCTGAGCTTGGAAGACAGCCGCTTCCGGATGTGGGCGGCGATTACTTGCAATGAGCCTCTGTTGCTCATCATTAGTGACAAGCTGATATGCCTCGGCCAAGCTAGGCACTGGCTTCATCGCCAATATTTGGGACTTGATGGTGGAGAACACGTCGTCTAAACCCATAAGAAAATCAAAGAGTATCTCCCCCTCTCGAACTTCACGTTGACGCTTCTTAACATTACAGTGGCAGCCCGAGCAAGTGCACTCAAGCGATGGCGTAAGAGACGTAATCTCATCCCAAAGACCTCGTAGACATGTGTAAAAGGAAGATATTGAAGCCTTCTCCTGTTAAAGGCAGCTGATCGTGGTCTTCAGCTCGTAAAGCCGCAAAGCACTACCCTGTCCGAAACGCGACTGGAGATCAACCCATATCTCTCGAGCGGTAACGCGAAACGAACGCTGTTCCGCACTTCCTTTGACACCGAAGTTTTTAACCATCCTTTTACCATCGCGTTGCAATGTCGATGGGCCTGACGCTCATTAGGGTATGACGTGGCTGGTAATGAACCATCGACAAAACAAAGTTTGTCTTTGGCAATCAAGGAATCCGTCATATCTGTGACCCATTCCCCATAGTTGATGTCCGTGAGCAGCTCGCCCACAAAGAGGTTGTTGGGACTGTCCGAGCGACATAGCTGAAGGTATGGTGGCAGCGCCATCTAGAAATCGGCCGCGTTGTTGGTTGCCTTTG